TGTGCTTATATAGAAAATCTGAACTTCAGGAGATGTTGGTAGTTAATGCAGTCTGTCCCCTGTTCCAAGACAAACTTAAATATAGATATTAATATTTATAAAAATATTTCTTCCACTAGTTATGAAAAACTACGAAACTGAAGATAACTCATCAATCTTCCAAAGCAGTCTCTTGCTGTGTTTCCATAATCCTTTGCATAATGGAAGTAAGCCCTTCATTATGGACACTAGTTTACTCCCTTCTGCTCCTTCATAGCTCTGTGTTATATGTATTTGTAGGCTCTTAGAGCAGAGCTTTAATTAAGCTAAAGAAACCATTTCCTCCTTAGTTGTGTGTCCTGAGCTTTGAATCCTCCTTACAGCCTCTTGCGCTGTTCCATTGTTTCATTTCAAATAAAATGCCATTCCAAAAACTTGGCAGTACTGCCAAAGACCCTACCAGTGCTGAATATGCTGCAAGGATTACTTCATATGCCTTGCAGACTATATTGTTGTCTATGAAGTCCAAAGGGAGATTACCTTTATTGCAATATTGTGACATTGTTGACCCATGTTAAGCTTGTTATTCACTGTAATCTCATGATTTCTTCATGCATAGTGAGCTGAAATTCCAAAGGGTAACAACATAGACCTTGGAAGGCAGGCAGTCTAGGCAACATATGGCCCATAAAGATGTTTATCCTGTTTGCTCAGGAGCAAGAAGGTACACAATGATGTGTATCTCCTGAATCGATGGCTGGCTAACTGTCATGTGTATTAATGCCTCCGGTCTGCCACGGCATGTATTGATTCTTGGTGCAATGACAGGCTGAGCAAAGAAGTGGGGGACATGTGAGCAGGATTTAGGGAGTTGTAGAAGGAAAGCATATGAGGAACAAGTTATATTTGCGGAAGCATCATTTTTCTTTTTTCCTCATTATGCCTTCTGTCACGCACTGAATGGTTATTTGCTCTTTGAATAGTCCTAGTAACCTAGTAAAGTTGTTGTTCTGTGGAGTTTTTTTCCAAACAGAATAGGCTTGAGAAGGATAGCATAACAGAATGCATGATGACTGGAGCTGAAGTCTAGTTTCACTTCTTTCTGAGACACAAACTCTTTTTTATGAGGCAGGGGCCTGACTTCTTAAAGAATAAATTGGGCAAAGTCTGTAAAAAAACCACTCAGAAACTGATGCTCACATTTAGATGAGCTGTTTTCTGGAAGGGAACTGTTTTCTGGCCTTTGTTTTCCTTGTGGCAACTTTTCAATTTCAATTCTGAAAAATGTTGGAGGGCAATACTGTTGAGTCACCCCCTTATTTACATTTGGCCGTGTATACACATCCTACTCCTTAATCCATGAAAGAGACTGCAGTTTTTACAGCTTGGAGTATAGAGGTTTCAGGTGTTCCTCTTGGGTAAGCATTAGTGCTAGCAGTGCTTGCCTTTGTTGGACCTTTCAGAATATTAGGTAGAAGGGAGCAATCCTGCATAGAATGGGTTTCTCCATTTACTTGGAGAAGCAGGATGTGTTCTTCTGTAACAAATACTCTTTCACTCCCAGCACCTGCAGGGAAAGGCAGAGCAATGCAGTTGCACCCTCCCTGCCTTCCTGCAAATGGCCTCAGCACTGTTGCTCTCACAGACCTTACTTACTGTTCTCTACAACTACCTGGAAGGAGGTTGTACTGGGGTGGGTACTGGTCTCTTCTCCCAGGTAACAAGCAATAGGACAAGAGGAAACAGTTTCAAGTTGTGCCAGAAGAGGTTTAAGGCTGGGTATTAGGAAACATATCTTCACCAGAAGGGTTGTCAAACATTGGAACAGGCTACCCAGGGAAGTGCGTGAGTCATCACCCCTGGAGGTATTTAAAAGACTTGTAGATGTGGTCCTTAGAGACATGGTTTAGTGGCAGACTTTGCAGTGCTAAGTAAACAGCTGGACTCAAGATCATTGAGTTCAACCTAAATAGTTCTATGATTGCTACCTAAGCTGTAGTTCCCTCACTCAGGTGTAGGAACAGTCTGGTATCAGCTGTGCTCTGCAATGTGAAACCTCCTTGCGCCTATCCTTGCTTTGCCTATGTGGTCTACTAGGTGCAGGAGTAGTGGTTGTAGAAAACCAAAGGGCAGGCATTAATAAATGTATGAGGTGTGCTTTCCTTCTTGGGGGAAGAACTTGCTCCATTGAGATTGTCAGACATGCTTGGGCAGTTTTGAGATAGAACAGCTGTAAATCATAGAATCATAGAATCAGCTAGGTTAAAAAAGACCTTTAAGATCACCAAGTCCAACTGTTATCACGGGACAGCCAAGCCCCCCACTAAACCATGTCACTAAGGGCAAACTGATCTCCCCTCAAGATCTCCCCTTATACCTGGCCCTCATGATCTCTACTCACATCCACCCCTCACCTGCCTCCCATAGTGGCCCACACTGTACAGCTGCCATCTCTACCCTCGACAGCTGCACCTCACACCCCATGGCTGCCCATGCTCTCCCCTCATCATCTCTCCTCATGACTGCCCCTCTTTCCTGTCACCATTTTCCCTCATGGCCGAACATCTCCCCTCATGATCTGCCCTCATGATGGCCCCTCACCCCTGATGGCCATCCTTCCTCTCCCCTTATGGTCTCCTCTCATGGCTGCCTCTTCTTTCCCAACACCATCTCCCCTCATGATCTCCACTCATGGCTGCCCCTCCCCTCCTCTCATGATCTTCCCTCGTGGCTGTCCCTCATTACCCTTCACGATCTTCCCTCATGGCTGCCCTTCCTCGCCCCTCATGTTCTCCCTCATGGATACCTCTTTTCTCCCCTCATGATCTCTCCTCATGGCCACCTCTTTTCTCCCCTCATGACTATTCCTCATGGCTGCCCCTCATTTCCCCTTATGATCTTCCCTCACAGCTGCCCTTCCTCTCCACTCATGATCTTCCCTCATCACTGTCCTTCCTCTCCCCTCATCATTTCCCCTCACAATCACCCTTCACCTCTCATGGCCACCCCTCATCTCCCCTCATGTTTAACAGTGTTTAACTTAATATTGTCCATTTTTTGTGCAACAGCCATATGTATGCACTGCAGAGCCTTTCCCAAGCTCTCCACCCATAACAAGGATAACCACGTGCTATCTACTTTATCGCATACACTCCCTTCCCCACTTCATGTACTTCTACAGGCTCTTCTGCTTCTTTTTCCTTCTCCAGCTACACAAACTTCACTAACTTCACTACAAGGCCTGATTACCAGCAAAGCAGCCTCCTTTCCACAGTTCAGCACACTGTGGACCAGGATCTGTTCCTCCCCGATGCTGCATTTTTCTCTGTAAAGTGGGGTAGGAAATGCTCCTACCAAGAGACTCTGGAAGACTTTGTCTATAATTGCCTGCAAACCACCTAAGTAGTAACTGATACAGGCTTACCTTGCCATCCAGACCTGTGTCCACTTGAGATAAAGCCCCTTGTGTGAAGGAGGTTATCCTTCATACAAGGATAACTCCAGCAGCTTTCTCAGACGCTGGAGCTGGAGCATACACGGTGCAGATCATTCATTGTTCTGGCCCTATACTCCACGGAGATGTGCCAGTTTCTACAGTTCAAGAAAATACCTGAATTTATAGGTGATGAAACTCACAGTAGTAAGGCCAGCCTAGAACAAGCCCTGTTTCTTGCAGCTGGAGTGACGACAGAAAACAGGACAGTATACTTCCTCATTTTCCAACGGATTACTTATGATGAGGAAAATAATCTTTCATGTTGCTAAGAAATAATGACACTATTCAAGAGTCAGTTTAAAGCTATCTATGAAGAAGAACAATAGGCATCAGGCATTATTTCTTCTTGTGATCTTTGACTGGACCTGTGGTGGTCAGTAATGACAAATGGCCAGAGGAAGATGAAATTCCCAAACACATTATGAAGTCCTATCTCAGCAGAGTCTTGATGTATTGTAGCACTTGCCAAGTAACACATACATCTTCTTTCACTTTGGCAGCCCTCTGAAGGGGATGTTTTGTGTCAATAACACACAACTGTGCATACTTCAAAACCCAACTGCAAGGGCGGTGCTCTATCAGGGCACCCACTGCCTGGGTTGCTGTGCCACTGCAAGGCATTGTGTGGGGCTGCTTGTGGCATCCGTGGCTCCACAGGACTTTCTAAACACTTGAGAAAGGGAAGCACAGGTGGGATGCGTGTGCTGCACTTTGCTGCTCTTGTGGGGAAGGTGTAGGTGGCTACTGCCACAGTGGAGTGTGGACAGCAAATGATGGTTAATGCACAGGATAGGTGGCAGAGGGCTGGATGGCCAATGTTATGCGCACTGACCAACATGTACCTATGGGCACTGGAAACGTGCTCAGGGTACCTGGTACCGTGGTGCTGTACAGTGAGGGCAGGGGAGAGCCCGGTATAACATGCAGGACCGGAAGAAGGGTGTCCACATGTGTGGGCCATGGGTGCCCTGCATGGTGCTTGGGTGGAGACACGGAGCCTCGACAAAGTGTCTGTGGTACCCACGGTCCCGGGGGGGCCTGTGCTGGGGAGGTCTGTGTGACACTGCAGCAGTGCCTCTGTGGGGTTGGCGAGCGCCTCACTGCAGTGCTGGATGGGTGCACCGGTGATACCGGGGAATTCCGCATATCACAGGCACCGAGGTGAGGGGCACAGCCCTGTCGCTGCCGAGGGTGGGCGAGGGGGAGGCGGCACCCTGCTCGCCTCAGGGGACGGGCAGCATGAGGCGTTAGCCATGCGTGCGGGATGGCGCCTGTCACAGAAGTGGCGCCCGCCGAGTGCGGTGGGGCGGCCGTTGAGGTGCGTGACGAAGTGTGTGCGTGGCAGCCGTGGCGGGACCTGCAGCGAGACCGCCGGTAGGGCTCCGTGCCTCGCCGCCCTGCGGCACCGCGGCGGCTGCCTCCCTCTGAGCAGCGAGAGGCAGAGGCGGAGGCGGCCACTAGGTGTCCGCGCCCATCGCCTGACGTTGTCTGAGCCCGCGGTGGGGAGTGTTCTGTGTGTGTGACAGGCGGGGAGGAGAGGGCAGGGAAGGGAGTGCGCGTGACACCCTCCGCGCTCCGCCTCCTGCTCCTTGCTCCCGGCGCCGCCGAGCTCGGCCCGGTGTGGGTGCAGCCATGGAGCTGGAGCTTGAGTGCCGGGTGCTCTCCATCCAAAGCCACGTCGTCCGCGGCTACGTGGGCAACAAGGCGGCTACCTTCCCCCTGCAGGTGAGCGGGCGCGGACGGGCCTAGCGCCGTGCGCCCCCTTCTTCCCTCTGCTGTTTCCCCTCCTCGGGGCGGCGAGGGGAGTCGGGCAGGTGTGACGGCAGGGCTGCCCGGCGCGGGGGGTGGGCGCCCCTTGCCAAGTGGGGTAAGGTCAGGGCACGGCCGGGAGCAGCCTGCACGGGTGCCCTTCCGAGAACCGGAGCGCGGGGCTGGGGCGGGAGGAGCTGGGGTCAAGTAACCGACACGGTCTCCGCGCACCCGGGCGAGACGGGGCCCCGGCGGCCGAGCCTCGCACCGGCTGCGCGCCGCACGGCCCCGGCCCGTGGCTCCCGCTAACGTCATGTCTTCTCCCTGCTGGCTTGAGGCGAGGCGGTTTAAAGAGAGGGGTACTGGGGGCGCTGCCGGTGCGGGAGCCTGTGTGTGCCGCCGGGCATGTGCTCCGGTGTCGAGCGGGCGCTGCGGCTTGAGGGCGACAGCGGGCACCCTCTGGTAACAGCTTGGGTTTGGGTGCCCTGCGCTGGGGACAGGGAGCTCGGCTTGCTGGAATGAGGTCTTTGTGATGCTGGGATGAGAGTTAAGAGGAGTCTTGGGCGGTGGAGCGGGGTAAATCCCCACCCCTCAATTTCTGAGGATCTGGGGAAGCTGGAGTAGAGTGTAAGTACCACTTAATGGCTGTATAAGGCAGGCAGAGCAGAGAAACTAGCTGACATGCCTGGGGGCTTGAGTGTATAATTGGATCTTGGCCTTCAGGGGTGGCATGTGCTGAATTCAGAGTTGCTTGCCAAGGTGTCGCTGATGGTGAGAAAACATTGGTGTGCTTTGGGGTGAACGTTTGCACATGCCACTGTTCTCTTTCCTGAAGTGTCTGTATCCTAAGGGGACATTACCGGCAAGAAGTCGTTGTTCCTTGACCTGCAAAGCTTGCTGTCCAAGAATTTCATTGCCAGAACACAGTATGTTGGTGCATTGGTTATCTTGGTAGGTGCTTAACAAGCGATAGCGTGATCTCACTTGATTATGTATGAGAGATGGTATAGTCTGATAAATCACGCACTTGAGACCAGGCCAGCGACAAGATAAACATCACATCCCCTTATTGCCATCCAATTATAATGTAACCAAGCCTCTTGAAAATTAGTATGTGGTGAAGGGTAATGTGCATATGAAATCCATGCATTGTAGGATATCTGTGTATGTGAAGACCCATACCTGAAAGGTTGTCATGATCTCTGGCCCAGCTTTCCCTCCTCTTCTACCGGAATGATCTCTTAAATTGAGCTCCCCTTTTCACGCTCTTCTGCCCCCTCCAGCTGTTGTGGTATCACAAGGGCACACAGTAGTATTTATTCCTGAAATCTCTAGTCTCTTAACTTTAATTTTGCGTCAAAGGTTCTCTTTACTCTTCTGTCACTCAGCCTTTCTGTGGCATATTAGCCTGTGTATGGGTGTCTTGTATGACTTAGCAAGTCAGTTCCTGTGAAGCGTCTTTAGTTCCTTGACTATGACACTAAAATACTGCCATAGTTAAAAGGCCTATTGATGTTGTAGCTGGGTTCTGTTTACTCACAGTGTGTAATGTTTCTCAGTGTACAGTATAACAAGAAGTTGCTGGGGTGAAAAAAGGTAGTTGGAGAACAACTGAATTCCTGTCACTACATACTGCACTTGAGAAGCCTGTGTAGGCAACCCTCAGTGAAGTTGTCCTTGCTAGAAAGTTATTTAAACCCTGATTTTGCTAGAACATCAGATGTAGCAAATTGACACCAAGTGAAACCTTCCTTTTTAAACAAGGAAATGAATTGCAACCCTAAGCCTCTTCGATTTGATTTGGTTTTATGTAGATAAAAATGAAATGTAATTCTAGGCTTGAGGATGGGTACAGATCTGGCATGCTTATGCTATTTCCCATTCTCTTTTTTACTTTGGTCTTCTGAATCAGTAATGGTTAAATGAGGCTTCCTTCTAAACTCATCAGTGTTGACATCGCAAGTCTCAATATGCAAACGTGTGTGTGTCCCTGTGAGGTCTGATGGGCTGAAATCCTGACAGAACAGTTCAGGAATCTGCATTTGGACAGCAGCATTCAAATAGAAAACCAGACGTAGTTTCACCTCTTGTTTGCAGACTTCTGTAAAAACATCAGGCATGTTTGAATGAGTTATCTTTAGTGGAAGTCTATGGCATTATTATTTATTAGCAATAGCCGGTGTAACAATGTGCACAACAGAGAACTCTCTTATATCTTTTTTATTTTATCTTTTAAAATCAATTGGTTTGTTTTATTAGGCTTCCAGTACACTAAAAGCTAAAGAATTTTAAAAGTAGGTTTGTGGGAAGACTTTCTCTATTAAGTATATGGTAAACACTTTCTGTATAGCAAACACAGCAAAAGATAATTAGATCATATATTAAAGCAGTTATAATGATGGAAGTAATCTAGCAGAGTGAGAAATGTTAGAACCCTTTACACTATTTCAGGTTAAAATACATTTGTTCAAGTAGTTTGGGATTTTAGATTAACTAGTAGGTCTTGGAGGAAACACACTCCTGGATTTCCCCAGGTAAAATACCGGGAAGCGAATTGTCCTCAGCTGTGCTTTGAATTCTGTCTTGTCAAGTGGTGAAATAGTTTTTACTTGCATGGCTTTACTGTCTCTTTAAAAGGTGGTTCAGTATTATTTTTAAAATAGTCTTAATTTGCAGTTGTGTAATCTGAACAGGTTTTGTTACCAGGAAATGGTTTAGAATTGTCCAGCATCTAAGAGAGGAAGAGCAGCCTCTCTGAGTTTTCCAGAAAGAGGTTTGAGAGTACAAGGAAGTGAAAGGAGAAAGTTACAGCCAGTTTCCCCTGAGCACTTGCATGAGCATTTAGTTGCCACTGGACTACATTCTGCTCCTGTCTGCAAGCCAGAGGCTGTTGATCTTTGCTTATGTGTAGGTAACACTGAGATCCAGAGAGTTCTGTACATTATGTTCTTACGTTGTTTGATAATGCTAATGGACATTATTATATTTTTTGTTTTGGTTTTGTCTGCCTCAGAATTGTTGTCTGTCTCAGAATTTGAGAACATCTTGTCACTTTTTGGTATTTAATTCTTGACTTTTTTTTAATAGCTGTTTACCTTGAAGATGGAGCTAAAAGCATGGACAAATACCATTAACTGTTTGGGTCTGGAGAATGCAACTGTCTGTTCTGATTTGTAGGACACCACTGTAAACAGCTTCTACAGTTTACAGGATAAGATGGCCTTTTGCAATCTGTTCAATTATTATTTTTATTATTATCCTTTCCTGTTCACTATTTCCACCTCCCCCCCACTCCCCTGCTGAATGGAAATAATTTTCTGTTCAGGTATTAATGAGGGCAGATGATTCTCATTCTTAGATTACTTCTCTGTGATTCTTTTCTGCAAAAGAAACAGTAAGTCTACATTTTTAGCTCCCTCTTAATTGTAAAAAAGGTGGGAAAGCAACTTTGGTCAGCACAGATGGTAATTTCTTTGATATTTAAGGATAGTCTTGCACTGCACAGTTCAGCCAAGGGTATAATTTGCTTTCGTATGCTGGGATCAAAATCAGTATCAGCCTATCTTTAATGATTATCTGCTGCTCTAGCAAAAAAGTTTAAGGCGCTTTTTTTTCGTTTTTTTCTTTCTTTCTTTTGTTGAACAACGTAGCAAACAGATTAAGGATTGTACAGAAAGAGACAGAAAAAAAGAGCATCTCTTATTTAAGATTGTTCTGTTTTTCAGAGCCTACTTCTATTGTGTTAATTATATGAGTCAGAAGAAGGATGAATCGATCAAATGTTTATAGAATAACTAAGAAATGTTCCTGCTGGCTAGCCCTTATTTTTATTACAGATCAAATGCTGAAAAAACCTAACCTAATGGTTTTCTTCATTGGTTCTGTATTTGTTCTTGTAAGAAAGGTAAATAAGGGACAGAAAGAACAGATGAATTAAAAAAAAAAACAACAAAACAACCAAAATAAAACCACCCCAACAAGAAAAAAATCACACAAAAGAACCCCCACACCCCCCAAGAAAAAAAAAAACAAAGCAAAACTCGTCCAGATTAACCCACCTATGAAGAAAGGATGGATCTGGCCCTCTGGGAGCTCAGAGGTACCATGAGAACTTTTGAACTTCTGAGGAGATTGCAGGAGGTGGACTTTCGATCTGTATGGTAAACTGGGAGAGGGACAGGACTTGGAGAGGACAAGAAAGTGGAATATTCCTTGAAAGACTGAAACAGTAAAAAAACCCAGTTTGTGTGTCACTCTTTTAGCGCTTGAACATTATTTGAAGGTGCCTAGACTGAGGCAAAGAACTGGGAAAGATACTGGGGTGTCACTTTTACTTAACAGTAGTCATAGACTATTTTATGTTTGTGTAGAACTGTGAACTACGAGATCCCAAATGTCTTCACAAACTTTTTACAGAAAACTTTTAAATTCCTAATGCAAAATAATTTATTTGAAAAATTAGATTAATTTAAGCCTGTCTAAAAGAAGTGCTAATGTGATGTGGACTCCAGGTGACAGGGCCAAGCACAGCCTCTAAGAAACTGAGAGCACATCTGTCTGAACCTTCATCATTTGAGGTCAAGTCTAAGGATATGATAGTGGTATTCTTAACTGTTCCTACCGGTCATGAAAATAAAGTCATACAATATAGGTTGATTATATATTACAGTTGCAAAGCTGAGAAAAAGCATTCTAGGATGCATTAACATTTATTTTGCATTTTGCAGTGTGTATGAGGCCAGTTGACCAGTTGGCATTTTAAACTTTGGAAAAAGATCATGATAAATATTTACAATATTTTATCATTATTATGATTTGCTAACTTTTCCCTTGTGTGTTGTGAAAATTGGAACTATGCAGATGCTGATATTTGATGTAGTCGTTACACTGGACTGTGTGCCGAAGTGAAGAAATAGTAGATTATGGGTTTGTTTGTTTTGGGGTTTTTTTACATAAATGTAATCTTTTCATCTAAC